AGAATTTTTAAATTTAAATAATCGTGATTATGGGATCTTATTGAAATTCTCCATATTTTGATCATCAACGTGTTTATTATTTTGACAGACTCTTCCTTATCTTTCTTTTGACCAAAGCGATCTCTGAAAACCTAATGTTTTTATCAACACCGACCTCCCTTTCGGGAGGGAATTCTCTCGTATTCATTTCCTTCCCCTCTCCTTCTTTTTCTTTTCCATAATCATTTGATTAAAGATTTAGATAGTTCAAATTTAATTTTTCATAAAATTATTATTAAAATTTTTAATTATAAAAATATAAATAATAAGCTTTAAACTGTTAAAATTTAATATTAACAACTAAAAAATACACTCAAAATAAAATAAACTATTTTATTAGAGATCTAATTTGGACCATCTAATGATCTTGACCTAATGGTTAAAAATTAGGAAACGGTTGAGAAAGAAAAGGAGAGAATCTCCCCTCTCACTAGCATAATTTGAGGCCGCTTCAAATTTATTTTTAAATTTTATGTTATTTCATCTTTCAATTAAATTTGTTCCATGAAAATCAAACACTTTCAATGGTTAATGTATAATTTAAGTGTGTGTTGTTCTAATCTCTACCATTCCTCTCACTCTATCAATTCATATATATGAAAAGTTCAGAAAGTGGAAAAATCACCATGCACTATAAATAATGCTAATAAGTTATATGGATAAAGTTTATCAAGAAAATTATATACACTGAAATTTGCATATATAAGATGATTTCTCTGATTTTCTTGGTGGGTGACTAAGTATCAAGATGAAGACATTGAGAAGGCCTCATCAATCAACAGACATATTGAATGTCCCATATTCATACGTGATCATTCATATATAAGTTCTTTTCACTGACATGAATGCTTTCCTTCCATAAATTCGGTCATTTAAAATTGTTAAATTTCAGATTCAAAACTTAATGGTCAACATTGTTGATTTTTAAAGGTTACATTTGGTTATAAATGTATTGAAAAAATAATTTTATAAATACTCATACAGTTCTTTTCACTTTAAATTATTGGATATTTTTAATTGAAGACTTCTTGAATATTTTTAACCTTTTGCCCTATAATTTAATCGTCTTGTATGTGATCTCCAAGTAATTCTCCCAAATAATTTCTTGGTTTTCCTCGAATGGAAAGACAACCTTGTTTTTTTCCAACACAAACATTGGGGTGACTTTTTTTTTTTTTTTCTCAAGTGATAAGCATGGTGGAGACAGAGATTTTAAGTGCACCCTGCCGAAACTGAGCTTATTTATATATGTGTTAGTAAGTGGTTTAAAATGTGACATTATGTAAGAAAAACTAAATGGTTTAGGAACAAAATCAGGTTGTAAAGACTATGTCATGATTAACAATTTTAAGATGATGCGTCATTTTGGTCCTAATAATCCATTTATTCTCCTTTTCATTTTTTATCCATCACTTCTAATCTAATCACTATTATATAAGTGGTATCAAGTTACTAGAAGATTTTGATAGCACATGTCTAAAAGCATATATTAACATAATAAATCTCTATCTCAACATGGCATATACTTGAATGGACAAGAATATGAAAAAGAAACGTAAATATAACAAGATGATAAAAAATCCAGAAAAAGAAATGCTCGTTCTGAGAATGACCTCTTATCATTGTCAGTGTAGATCATCACGGATCCTAAATGTGCCCAATCAGGTTACCATCATCGTCGTAGACGAAATGAATATGGTCCCATATCACAATGGAGGAGGAGACCATTCATTTTATGTCAAGCGTCTATGACATAAAACGAATAAAAATTATTTGGACATAAAATTTATTTTAATGTCATATAAATATGAATAAAAATAATTTTTATTAGGTTACAATCATTGACGAAGATGAAATGAGTACAAAAAAAAACAAAGAAAGAAAGAAAGAACTGATGACCTCTTCCTCTTTACACCATCTACGATGTTTAGAATAATTGCTTCTTCCTAGTTGAACGGTGACAATGCCTCATGTTCCCCTACCAGAACTCTTAGAAACGACATTGTCTTGGCTTGTGTTATGCTCATTTAAAGTTAAAAATTATTGTTCATACTATCAAAATATTGATATGGTATTGTGTGCTGCAATGCATGCTTCATTGACTATGACAAACAATACAAGGGGAGATATAACTCATTAAGTCATGTGTTGCAACACATGGCCCTTAACAAAGGAGGATCTTTATGTGTCATCCACCACAATGGATGACATGTTAGAAAGGTTCTTTAAAACTTGTTCTTAGAAAGGTTCTTCAAACACTTTTATCCCTTTTTAAACTTGTGGATAATCTAAGCTCCTAGAAAGTAAAAATCATACTTCACTACTAGATGAGTTGTGTAATATCTTTTAAATTTTTAAATGATTGTTTTCAATAGGATCTCATTTGATACTAGATAAATTATCATGGTAGGCTTGTTTTGTTATGTTGAACTCTTTTATATCATGGTAGATCCTTTTTTTCACCGTGGTAGTTAATTTTGAGAAATGTTTTAGTTGAAGAAAAATAATTTTTTTACCATGGTAAGCTTTCATAAAGTTGTTTGGCTTTTAATTATCAAGATAGACTATCTTCTATCATGGTGAGATTTTGAAAGTAATATTTTGTTCTCTCTATTATGATAAACCTTTAATTACTATGGTAAGATTTTGAAAAGTAAATCAAATCTTTTATTACTATGGTAGATACTTGGTGGATTATGGTTGTGATTTAATTAGTTTATTTAAGATATTAGGATTATTCATTACAGATATTCAAATAAAAATATTTATCCATTATAATTATGATTTATTATTTTATTTTATTGTTATCTTAAATTTCTTTATGTTGAATAAGATAGGATTTACCATCTTATCAGTATCTTTTAAGATTAGATTTAAGATCTAGATTTTGAATTTATTAATTTATTATTATTTTATCATTTTAGAACTCTATAAATAGAGTTGGGGCTTTTATTTGTATTAAGCTTCGAGTATTATTGGATAAGAATTTCAAGAATTTTGGTATTCCTCTTCCTTCTCTCTCTCTCTCCCTCCTCTTTCTCATATTTACGAGTTAATTTTTGACTAATTACGCTTAGTGCAATACATTTTGATTTTAGCTTCTTTTCCCTAATATTCTCTATTTTCAACGTCAACTATTTCTTCCATTAATTTCGAGGTAGTTGAAGCATGCTATTCTCTGTTTACAGGACCATTTGTTTGATTTTCATGCATTATGTGCAACATACGCAATTACTGATATTCATTTTCTGCTGTGACACTAATTATCACACATAATGCAAGCTAGTTAATAAATACTTAATGAAAATAGTTTTTTTATGAACAAGAAAAATTAGCCTTGGGAAAGACCAATCTGTTAGGTATTGTTTTGTGTTCTGTATGTGAAAATCATTTATATGAACAAGAATGAGCAATTTTACTAATTAATAGATGATCGCACCGACAATTTTAACTAAATCATGTTCTACTTTAACAATATGCGAGTATCGAATGAACAATAATATGAAGAAAGAAATGTAAACAGTCAATCAGAAAATCCAAATATATATATATATATACATATATGTATGTATGTGTATATATATATATATCATTCTGAAAAGTCACAAAATAGAACCTCTAATCATAGGCATATATAGCAGATCATCCTTCGACCCTCATTATGCTCAATCAGGTCATCCTCTTCAGATATGAAAGTATAAGCAAATGAACATCCATATCTATTTCTAGCTTTTGACCAAAAATAATAATATCTATTTCTAGCTCAAAAAAAATGCAATCCTTCTAAAAGCTAAGGCTGACAACATAAGTAATTTGGTTAGATAATTTTTAAATTTATATATTCATAATTTATTTTTTAATATTTAAATATGAAACTTCTTTTATATTTTAATATTTTCTTTATTTTTTTTTTGCCTGAGCTTGTACCTTTTTTTAATTTTAGAGGTCTCAGGTCTATTTAATTTTTTTTCTTTTTCTTCTCCTTCTCTCTTTTGTTTTTTATAAATGTCTTGTTGTATTTTTTTCATCTTTCATTTTTTTTGTCCCTTAATCGAATGGCTCTGATATCATGTTAAATTTTTTATATTAAATATGTTTAAGAATAGTATATTTTATCAAAATAATTTAAGCGATTTAGTTAGATAATTCCTAAACTTATATGTCTATGATTCATCTTTTAATCTTTATATATGAGATTTTTTTTATATTCTAATAATATCAACTACTAACTTAAGAAAATTTTAAGAATAGATTATCTACGAAAAAGAGAACAAATAGATTCTTTATTTCTCATCTTGTTTAATGTCCTTTTGAATGTTGAAAGTTTCTGAGGAGGTTAAGTGGATTTTGTGTTGTACGAACTTGAATATTGTATTGTTAGTGTAGGATGTGTATTTGTAAATTTATAAAATGTTTATAATTTGGTTTAAAAAAATAAATGGATTGCAAGTTGATACTAGATATGACAAATAAAATTGCAAACATATAATCAGAACTTGTAGTTGATAATATCATCAATAAATTATATAAATTATTTCAAAAAATAAAATATTTTAAATAATATAATGACCGGATATTTACTTGTTAAATCATGAGCTTTTACTTGTTAATATCTGCATATTTACTTGATAATTTTCTATTTATGACAATTATGTTTTTAGATCTTGACAACAAATGCGTATAAGAAATAAGTACATGTTTAAAATTTAACAAGTTAATATATAATTATTTTGTAGTAACAAAATCAAAACTCAATGCGCTTAATTTTAAATTTAGGGAATTTTTGTATATTTTAACAATTATATTATATATTTTGACTATTAACCCAATTCTATCTGGATTTTGTTCGGCCTAAATCGCCTGTTTCCACCTAAATTGAACAAAACAAAAAAAGGTTCTTAAAAATAACACATGTCTCTGTACTATTGGTTGCATTGGCGTGGCAAATTAGGAGGGCACCACAACACCACTCTACGGACAGTCCGTTTGAAAGACGTTCTCTTGGACTGAGCCCGGGGCCTCCATCCTCCTTCCTCTCTCCATACCAGTCTGAAGCTTCTGTGTTCGCATTCTCTTCGCACTCGCCGTTCAGATCAAGTATCGCGTTCGCGTTGCTGTCGGCTTCTTTCCTCTCGAGTTTCTGTCCGATTCACTCGCGTTGTTGTTGGCGTTGCTGTCTGCTTCTTTCGCCGTTCGTTAATTTGCTGTTCGCGTTGCTGTCAAGGTTCGTTAGCTGTCGTTCCTGCTCCAGGTTGGCTACTTTTCTTCTTCTAATTTGATTTTCGCTTGGAGATCTGGTTCATTAAATTGTTGTTGGCGACTTGGAATGATCTTTAATTTAATATAGGAATGTCTGGGATTTTTTCTGAGATCTGGTTCGTCAGCTGTACTTGAAATAATTTTCTGCTCTCAATAAACGGTTTAGACTTCTATGTAATGCGGTGAAGAAACGGTTAATAATCTATATTATTGTATTAGATCTGATACTTCTATGGCTTTGTTTTCCACTTTAGCTTCTGGCTGATGAGTTACATCCTTCTTTACTCAGACATTGTGCAAGTGTCTGATACTGAATTGAATTTATTGTGGCCTTGCAGTTGGATTTAGAATTTGAATTTTTGTTTTCTTTTCTTTTATTTCCAATGCATCGTTTAAATTTCAGAGCCATGCGCGTGAACTGCATGTATGCCCGATAACATTTGGAATTTTGCAATATAGCTGCTAGATCTTTGTCTTCTTCGTGACTCTTAAGTTGCAATACTATTTATGTAAAATGTTGGAAACTATGGGATATATTTCACTCTTAATTGTTGTCGGTTCATATGAGAATTAAAATGATAGTTTGTTTTCTCGTACTTCGTGTGCATGGTTCTCTGTTGTTTTTAAGCAGAGTCAATAACAAATATTTTGATTTTTGATATTTTACCGTAATTTGCAATTTGCATGCTGAAATATGATTTGGGGATTCTCTTTAGTTATATTGTTTTGACTTCCCACATTTATTCTCTTCAACTTTCAATTGCATCGTTTTAGGTAGCTTCTTTCCTGAAATGTTCAAAAAATTTGCAGATTTGTTAAGTTGGCAGAAGCTGGTTTTGATTAGTTCAAATGGGAGGAGGATTTAGAGTGCTGCATTTAGTTAGGCCATTTCTTTCATTTCTCCCAGAAGTTCAGACTGCTGATAGGAAGATTCCCTTCAGGGAGAAGGTTATATACACAGTCATCTCTCTCTTCATCTTTCTCGTCTGTAGTCAGCTTCCTCTTTATGGAATACACTCCACAACGGGCGCCGATCCATTTTATTGGATGCGTGTCATTCTTGCTTCGAACAGGGGGACTGTTATGGAACTTGGCATTACTCCAATTGTTACCTCTGGACTAGTTATGCAGCTCTTGGCAGGGTCAAAAATCATTGAAGTGGACAATAGTGTACGGGAGGACCGGGCATTATTGTAAGTATTTTTAATTTTAGTTGGTTTTCACTTTTTTCCGTTATTTATTTGTTTACTTGTTTCAAACTATGGCCATATGTATTTGTGAACTCATTTTGTATTTCGTGTTTTAGTTTATAATCTGTTAAGGTACTTCAATGTTTTACTCTTGTACATTCACTGCACTAAGAGTGGGCAAGTGATATTGTTATTGCCCCTGTTTGCTTTTGGATCTGATTTTGTTAATAGCTTCTAATATAAGATTCACTTACCTTTTGAGAGGGAACGGGTTTCCTATTGGAGCATGTAAAGCAGTGTCTTGATTCATAGCCATTATGTTCTGTTGCAGGAATGGGGCTCAGAAGTTGTTGGGAATTCTCATCGCAGTTGGTGAAGCTGTTGCTTATGTCTTATCTGGGATGTATGGCAGTGTTGGTCAACTTGGAGTTGGGAATGCCATTCTTATTATAGTTCAGCTTTGCTTTGCTGGAATTATTGTTATATGCCTTGACGAACTTCTTCAGAAAGGATATGGTCTGGGTTCTGGAATCTCACTTTTCATAGCCACAAATATCTGGTAGGCAAGGGCCTTTTCCTTTTTCTGGTGTACTGTGTTAATAGTTTTCCTTTTGAAAATAGATTTTTAGTTTTCATTGATTTTTTCTAATCACTTGTACAGTGAAAACATCATTTGGAAAGCTTTTAGCCCCACAACAATCAACAGTGGCCGGGGAGCTGAATTTGAAGGTGCTGTCATTGCACTGTTTCATCTCCTGATTACAAGGACAGATAAAGTTCGTGCTCTTCGTGAGGCTTTCTATAGGCAGAACCTTCCAAATGTAACTAATCTGCTTGCTACAGTCTTGATCTTCCTGATTGTTATTTACTTCCAAGGCTTCCGGGTGGTTTTGCCTGTGAGATCAAAGAATGCTCGAGGGCAACAGGGCTCATATCCAATTAAGCTTTTCTACACATCCAACATGCCTATCATTCTACAATCAGCCCTTGTTTCGAATCTTTATTTCATCTCCCAGGTACACGTTTCTCTCTGCACCTTAACCATATTAAATTTTCTTGAGCCAAGACATATCATTTACCAGAAAAGAATTGCCCCTTTGCAGTTGCTGTGCAGGAAGTACAGTGGAAATTTCTTTGTGAACCTCTTGGGAAAGTGGAAGGAATCTGAATATTCTGGCCAATCTGTTCCTGTTGGGGGTCTTGCTTACTATGTCACAGCCCCGGCAAGGTAATTAGATTTGACTTGGACCTTCTTCTGATTTCCTCTATAATTGGATTAGAATTTTCTTGTGTTAACCCACGAGCACATGGCAGCTTGGCAGATATGGCAGCTAATCCTTTCCATGCTCTGTTCTATCTTGTGTTCATGCTGGGAGCTTGTGCACTGTTCTCAAAAACTTGGATAGAAGTTTCTGGATCTTCCGCCCGAGATGTGGCCAAGCAGCTCAAGGTATGCATCTTAATGTAGTTATTGTGTTGAAACATAAGTCTTGCATCAGATGTTCTTGACCTTGTTCTGATTTTGCAGGAACAACAAATGGTGATGCCTGGCCATAGAGACTCCAATCTGCAGAAGGAATTGAATCGCTACATTCCTACTGCAGCTGCCTTTGGTGGGATGTGCATTGGTGCGTTGACGGTCCTGGCAGACTTCATGGGTGCAATCGGTTCGGGGACTGGGATATTGCTTGCTGTTACAATCATTTATCAGTACTTTGAAACATTCGAGAAGGAGAGGGCCAGTGAACTCGGCTTCTTCGGCTTCTAGGCGCTAGCTTGTTGGTTTAACAGTGAGGTGGCTTGTAGTGGATTTAGCTTCTTTCGTTAAACTTGTTTTTCTAGGCCGAGCATGCTTTTGGTTTAGATGTAATTTTGACGAAACTTCAGTTTTATTTGATTTTAGCATAATGTTGATATCGAACGAGAAATTTCAGGTCGGGGAGAGTTAAATTTCCTGTGATTTGAATGAAGATGTGAATTGTGGAAGTTGGCTAAACCATTGCAAGATAGGAATCATTGAAAAACTTTGATAAAAAAATAATAATGAAAATTATGAAAAATCTTGCAGTGTGTGTTAGAGAGAGTGATACCATTATCAGATACGAATTATTAAAATACATTTAATAATTGACTAGACTAGATAAAATGGCTTCCACATTGGCATGCAATTAAATTGTCAATTTTTTTATGGCCTTTAAAAACCTGAGGAAAACAAAGAAAGGAACTCAAATTAGAGGACAAGAAAAATGCACAGGAACATGGACACACAAATATGAGGTGAAAATGAACAAAAAGCTTAAGCCATGTAATCCAAATAACAAGCAATGGATCCAAAATATTTGCAAGTAACCATAATAAAATGTGGAATATATAATTGTCACTTCCTTCCCTAAAATATATAAGGCATTTTAATAAAATTTTACCCCTCAACAAAGTAGTTATCTGACTTCAAACTAACATTATTTTTAAATAGTTACCCTTATTTAATAAGTTTTGTTAAATAAATGTAAAATAATTTATTTATTATAAGCATTTTTTTAAAAAAGCACATTAATTACACCTTAAATCATTAAAAAATGTCTCATATTTTTTAACGAAAGGGGTATTTATTAATAAAATGTAATGATATGATATGGTCCGACACTGAACTTACTATAAGGAGAAAATATAACCTCCCTCATCATTGGGTCTATTTGGTTGCTAAAAATGATAAAATGGAATGAATTGAAAAAATTAAAATACAAAATAAATTAAACCACCCTTCTCCCTAATTGTAAGTATAATAAAATTTAATATTATATACTACAAATATAGAAATCATCACACCTTTCAAAACCTCATGAATCACGATTTTAATTTTATAAACTAAATTATCATTTTTTGTTAAAAATATGGTTCAATTATTCTTTTTCATATTTTGATCATCTTATTTTTATTTTTATTTTTTCAATCATTGCATTCCCTTTCTTTCTAACAATCAAATGAGACCTTTAGTTTTTTTTTTTTCCTCAATAAGGGGTAGGTTCTACCAATAGCAGAGAATGCTTCCCTAGAGGTACTAAGAACAATGCATAGTCATCACCAAACTAAATTGTTTACATGCACAAAAATTAAGATTCAAACCTCCAACCATTTATTCAAGTGACAAAAACTTCTATCACTCATGTCAACTTTAATTAGTCAATCACTTAGTATTTAATTTAAAGCAAAATAGCTTCTAACCCTTTGCTAGTACAGCGAGGAATACACCTTATCTTTAACCCCCCCCCCAAAAAAAACATCTTTTTCTACATCATAATTCATAAATTACTTGATCTTTAAAAGCCTATTTGGATTCTGTTTTCAAAAACATTTTTTTATTTTTAAAAAGGAAAAAATTAAAAAAATTATTTACATGAATTTTTTAATCTAATTATCTCTAAAACTATTCTCATTTTTTGTTTTTTAAAAACAAAAAATAGAAATATCTCAAAACTGTTTTCATTTTATTTTCCTTATTTTCAAAATACATTATCTTTAATTATTGAAAACTATGATTACCTTTATCAATAATTATCATAAACCATCATTATTAACCTTCGGTGACTATCACTATTGTCCAATTTGTTAATTCTAAAATTATTTTTAAATTAACACAACTAAAAAAAATTCTTTTTATTTTATTTTGAAAATTACCGGTACCCCTTGTTGGGCTGGGCAGAACATCCTAATGCGGTTATACTCCTACAAATTTGGTTTATCGTTTTATTTTTTTCAAATCTATAAAATCTTTCCCAGGTTGAGCATACTTGTGGTTTGGACACTCTTCTCACAAAAATATTGATATCTATATGATTTCAGCTATACCAAAAAAAGTGGTCGACAATCATGAATGCCTATCATGTTTAATGGTTTTTTTAATACTTCACAATTAGTATGATACACTTCTCAATAATCAAATTCCACTTGGCCTCTATTTATTGGAAGTTTGAATCCAGACTTGTTGGCAATAAGTAGATTTCTAAACCTACTCTAACGACTGATTACGCCTGGATGTGTGCCAATTACTTGTATAGATAACCACAAATAAAATGTTTGGATAAATTTCGATTTAAAAAAGAAATGTGCAGATAAATGTTTAATTTCACATTGAGTGCTTTTTTTCAGGTTACGATTCCATAATGTGATTTGCATATCTTCTGCCTTTTGAGGTAAACTAGTGCGAACGTACTTGTTAAATAATTTTTTTGGAGAATAACATCTAAGAATCCTCTGAATATATTATTTACAGAGTCCTAAAATTTTGAAATTTAAAAAAAAAAAACCATAGCCCTTCACTGAAATTATTTTATTTTTTAGTTATGTTTTTGGGACTCATTTTCTATATTTTTAATATTTATTATCAGCATTTTCAGTATTTAGTTTTTTAATTTTTAATAGTCATTTTAGATTATTTTAATATTCGTCTTTCATATTTTCAGTTCTAAGAAATACACATCTTCAATTCTTTTAAATAATATAACTATGGAAGATGACTACTATATTAAAAACATCTATTGTAACTACTGAAAAATATTAAAAAATGAGTATTGAACATGTTAAATATGAGAACTGAAAATATAAAAGATGAGTAATGAAAAATTCAATATTGCAAATTTTAATCCCAACTAAAACAGGTTTTATTTAATTTTATAATTGCAGGGATCTTTAACTGTAATATTTTTAAAAGTTCCTTAATAGAGAGTATCATTTTTCCCTATTGTTGAATCTTGCTTTTAATTTGTCTACATGAATCTACTTAAAGGAAGTCTACAACTTTGCGGTCATTTAAAAAAAAAAAAGAATTTAATTACCATCGTCTCATTATCTCCTTTACTCTCTTTTAGCAATGATTAAAACATATAGCAAGATATACACTACCCTTCTTCCCAAATTATAAAATATTTTTAGATAAAATTTTACATATCAATAAATCTTATTAAATGTATTTAACAATTTTATTTTTTTCTCAATAAAAATATAAATTTTTAAAAAAAATTTCATTTAATGACCTTAATCTACACTTAATTAATATTAAATAGAGAGAAAAAGGATAATATTAAAATAAGCCTATTTAATAAAATATTAATTTTTTTTAAAATATATTATATTTTAAAATAATAAATCTATCATAAAAGTATTTTATAATTTGAGATAAATGAAATAATATTTAAGAAGAATGATAGTGTGTTTTAGTACATTAACAACGGATTTATTCCTGTAATCCTATATTGTTCAAAATCTCTTTACAGAAATCGCAGCATTCTGATAGTAAACAAAGTGAGAGGTTCTATCATATCAGATTGTCAATTTGATTCGGTTCTTTGTTTACTGATACGTGGCTGATATTTAATTTATTCTCTTACTTTGGTTGGATTTTGTGTACTTTTACGATCGTCAAAGACTAAACCTTTGCGGGATTCCATTTCTTCTGGTTAAGCAAGCCTCCTAGGATTCTGCTTTTCATAGATTTTTATTTTTGTTAGATTGAGTATTATCCAGCCGATGCAATTTTGACCCTGAAAAATAATACTCTCTTGTTTAAAAATATAAAATATTTTTAATTTTTAAGATGTAATTATTATTTTTTTAAAAGTGTCCTAATTAATAATGACTTTATATTTATCATAAATTATTTAATAAAAATAAATATAAAAAAATAAAATTTATTTTAAAATAAGTAATTATTTTATTAAAAAGTAAAATTTAATTAAAAATATTTTATATTTTTTAATAGAAAAAATAACTTAAGCAGCCGATGCTTTTTATATGAGTGCGGAGTGAAAAATAAATTCACAGAATGATTCAATTACGAGAACTGCCAACTGAACGCAGTTCAAAAGAGGGGACACAGGCACATGTAACGTCAATATGCCACGTGCTACAACGCACCTGTGGGGCTTCAACAACACCACACATACACGTACACGGAGAATTTCCAATAACTATTAGGAATTTGACATAATTATTAATGAGTTTTAAAAAATTTTTAAATTTTAATTTAATTAAGAAAAATAAGAGTAAAAATAATTTTAATTATAAAAAAATTAAAATAACCCTTTACTTGTTATAGTAAATTATAAGACTTGTTGGTAATGTACAACTACTGTTAATAATTTAATAAGTAATTTTAGTGATTTAACAATCAATGTTTCTACTTATGGTTGAACAAATAATGTCAAATCTTTTATAAATTAACATGTTAGCTCATATAATTTGTAACTCATATCAATAAATTAATAAATGAAGTAAAAAAATTAATAATTAGTGATTTTGCATAATAAATGAAGGGTACTTTAATCTTTTTACAGTAAAAATTTAAAATTATTTTTACTTTTATTCTCTTGAACTGAAATGAAATTTCATAACTTTTTTGGGACCCATTAATAATTACTCCTCCAATTCTCTTTATAAGTCATTTCTACTAACCTCATTTTGACCAATGCAAAAAAAGTATAAGGAATAAAAGTTTATAAAATTTCAAATGTAGCCCTATATAACAAATTCAAAAAATAATATCATATTACTATTTATCTATCTTAAAAGATGATTTTAAAAATATTTTTTAAATATTATCCAACAATTTAAATTATAGTTTATAAATAAAATTAAATAAATTTTTTAAAATATAACTTATGAATAGGATTAAATAGAATATGTCATATATTGGTCCTTATTTAAAATTCCCTCATATGTATTTAGGGTTCGAAGCTAGGAACACAGTGCACTCGGGCCCTTACTTTGGAGTCATGCATTAATGTTACAACATGAATTTGGTAGTGTTAGTCTGTTAGAGGTGCATTCAACTTTTCTACCAAGAGGTCCATCTTCTTCCTCTTTTTCCATCATTATAAGATTCCAATCCTTGAGATTAGACCTCTGTGCTTCTTCTGCTATGGCTGACACACTAAGCTAAAGGTTCCACCAACTTGAATAAAATGGTATCATCTCTGCACCAAAATGCTGTT